CTTCCAAGAGAAATAAGCCCCTACGAATTTTCGGCTGATAGGGTTAGTTATAAATGTCGAACAAATGAATTCGAAATTACTTTCATAGATGAATGTTCCTCTATAATTCCCAACGATCACAATTCTCGACACGCAGAATTTAGGAAAAACACTATCTCATCAGTTCTTTATGTGTGTTTCCGAAATTTAAAAATTTTGATTCCCTAATTTTCAGGCTGGAGCTACTGCAGTAATTGTGCTGATGGTAAGTCAATGTTACTACCTTCCTTAATGTTTAGTTGTGTGCCGGGTTCGATAGTTCTTCTTTTAGGTTAGTTGGAAGCCCCTTGGCTGTAGAACTCATTCCCCCTAGAGTATCTCAACAGGGTTAGTGACGCGCGGTGTTGTGGTATTTCACAATAAATGAAGAAAAATCTCAACCTATCGCCCCACTGTTATTCGGTGACATGCGTGTTATCCATAGCTATTTTAGTATGATTATTTTTTAACGAAGAAATGGGCACACGCGCCCCTTTGAACCTTCTGAACCAACGCCCTTGAGTGACGTCCATTACACTTCTCGTGTCAAAATAAATTTAAACCTTTTCTGCCATTTTAGGCCCGTTGAGATGGACAGGCGACTGTGCCTCTGGGAAAAGCCAGTCTCCTATAGACATTACTTCAACCAATGCAACCTACAAGTCGTTCTCAGCCTGGAACTTGCAAAACTACGGAAAAACACTCTCGGCTGACTTTACTCAAATGAACACTGGCTCTGCTCTAAAGGTGTCAATACCAGAAAACATGTTCTTTGTCAATGGTGGAGGCCTGGATGGTAACTACACCACCGCTCAGTTTCACCTTCACTGGGGACCCAGCAACAAAAAAGGTTCAGAGCACTACCTGGATGGACAGCAGTTTTCCGCAGAGGTGCGTACAGAGAAAATTTCTCTGCAAAATTTTCATGAGTGATTTCTGAATGAAAGACTTGACTTTAAAAACTGTTCAATAACTCTCACACTCAAGGCTTCCATATTAATCCTGCATTCAAAAAGGCGAAATTCTACAATTTACGATTTAATCAGCCATTGCATGTAAAAGAATTTTTCCTCTTGGCATCTAGGGGGCAGTTATGTCCATTCTATGATAAGGGAATGTTATTGCCATCATCACCAATGGCACACCTAACATTCCTGATCATTCCTTTCACTTAGATCCATTTCGTCAGCTACAATGTCAAATACCCAAACTTGACCTACGCCGCTACAAAGTCTGACGGTTTGGCTGTCCTTGGTGTCTTCTTAGAGGTATTTGACTGCTAAGTCACGTGTAATGATGCATAGAATCTTAGATCACGCGCAAACTTCAGTGGCGCAATAGATTAGAAATCTTGGCAAAGACCTGAAAAAACGTGAGCCAATGTTGCAATTGCGCACCAAGTTGTACGGACGTTCTGGTCTAGAGGTCGAAACAGAAGTTAGAACGAGAGGCGTCAACCTTTGTGCACACGCATACTCTTGATTCGGGGGGTTGATTCTACCGTAGCAAGCGCTATATCATCTTCTGCTCAAAATATGTGCCTATCAGATTCATTTCGCGTTTAAAAGTGTTTTTGAACAACACTAGATGGACTAGATATTGTCAAACTAGCACACACTTAGTAAGCGAAGCTTCGCAGTTTTCCAGTTAATTTGCTTAACATGATATCTCGTACAGATTTAGCAAAAATTTCTAAAATGAACAGTGATATTGGCAGCCCCCTTAGAGAGAGTTTTCCATTAAAAGTTAGATCAAAAAAGAGAAAGTTGTGATAACAATGAAATTGTAATTTCATAATTGATTTGTCAAAACGAATTGCGTGCGTTTCGTCTGGAATCCTCTTGCGAAGGCGTGAATTAGATGTCTATCGGCTAATAGAGAGCGGCTGAAAATGAAATCTCAACTTGGCCCAACAGTTATTCTATAGAAATAAATGGTACCATTCTTATAATGTCCTCTATTTACCCGTTGTTTCCTTCAATAAAACCGTTCCCTTTCAGGTCGGAAGTGCAAATCCTGCTTATGACAAATTCCTCAATTATGCCTCGAAAGTTGTCAACAAAAGTAAGTCTTATTTCTTCTGTTACTCACTCAAATTGTGTTTCGTTCTAACAAGCCTGTTTTTATTTTTGGACGAGAAGATCACATAGAATGAGTTAATCACAAATTCAGGGAGATGTTTAATTTAGTGGTTTGAGGCGACTTTCAATACCTCTACTCTTGAAATCTCTTTCAGACATGTACTAAACCTAAACACTTTCAGTTTTTTCGGAGTAAGTCGACAGGGTCTTTAGCTTCATCATACCCAAATGACTTTCTTTGTTGTTTTTATTAATTATCATTTTCTATTATTTTACAGGTGCAACTGTGCACGTTCCTGCTTTTCCTTTCTCTCCCCTTTTCCCATCCAACACGAGCAAGTTCTACAGGTACCAAGGCTCATTAACAACACCAGGATGTTACGAGTCTGTAACATGGACAGTTTTCCACGATGTCGTTGAGATATCCTCATCTCAGGTGAGCGTTACGATCAGAAAGTCCGTTTTCTATGAAAACAAGACGACCCAGTGATTGCTCCCGTATAATTCTGCATATTGAATCGAGGATTTCTCCATCTCAGAGATTAACCTTGAGGCAAAAACGGGTGCCCCTGTGGCAGGCAGGAACTAACCCCAAACTACTACATCTCATAAGTTGTTTTGAAATCAAACAACAGCAAATGCGTGTGCTGTTTTTGTTGTTGTTTTTGTCTTCATTGAGCGGATTTTGGCAGCATAGCGCTAAAATAATTCTTTTCATCTATTAACAGGTTAGCGCCATGCGCCGCTTGATGATGAACGGCACTGACTACATTGGGGAGAACTACCGCCCGACTCAGGACCTACACACCCGCACAGTATATGCGAGCTTTGATGTTCCAGCTGCTACCCAGACTCCAACGGTAGACGGTCCGGTTGATTCAGCAGTAGGTGTCAAGATGTCCACAGGTCTATTGCTGTTGATGTTGTTTGGAGCGCTGTTCTTTTATTAAAATGGCTCCTTCGCATACATCTTGATGCCAACGGACTAAGACTTGCTTTTTGTTAGTGTGCTGTATAATCTGCGATATACGGTTGTGATAAATAGATGACAGGCGTTCTTTGTTAAATAAGGCTAGTATATGTACAAACTCGAGGAAGGAACTGGGGGAGAAAAACGGCAGCAAACCTTATTCCATTACTTTATTGTTGCTTAAATCCGCAGGAGGGTCCCCTGACGGCGGACCTTCCCATCATCTGACAAAACAGGCCCATCTTAAAATGAGCTTCTGAAAGGGTAACATGACTACGCTGTTTATCTCAAGATTTTTCCCTGTACCTTGTACCAGCCTTATTTATTCATTACTATCTCTAGTATTTATATCAACGGAATCTTGTTTGCAACTTTATGTCTAATGTGATGCTGTATTTGAGGATTTCGCGCCGTGAGAAAACTGAAATTATTACGCCCATCAATGTAGACGATATTTGGAAGACTTTCCAGCCGTTGTGAGAAAACGATATTTTTTCAGACAGAACTTTGGAGTAAGATCATTATTAACTCATTCTATCAAAGTTTATCTATTTCCTGTCTTGGAAAAATTTGCCTCTTCCGCTGAGTCTCCGTTCAGTGTGTGATTTGTGATTAATAAAAGTCTCTTTTTGTATTCTATAAGTATATATTTTGAGTTTTCCCTCATGTTGTCAGTCGATCTATACCGAATCAGGAGGAACATCTTACCATCTGGCTTCGTCATAAAGCAAAAAAATTAAGAACGTCGTTCTTGTTTTGAAAAGAAACAACAGCGCACATAAAAAAAAAACAAACCAAAAAAAAAAACAATTATAACAAAGAACAAAGCATAGCAAAATTAAGATATCGGCAGAAACCTCTCTCTTAAGCTCTTGTCAATTTTTTTTTTTTTTTTTGGTGGGGAGGGGGGCAATTAAATATAGTTTTCCGATGTGACTGAATAGCAACTTACAAAAAGAAATTAGCTCCTGCTGTGTTCGGTCATCATTAGTTAGACAGTTGCCGGAAGGATTGTACATAAGAACGCAGATATAACACAGTTTGAAAAGAAAAAAAAGTTTACACCTTAAGGTTCTCATGGAAAACTTGAAAGTTAATTGGCACCGCATAATAGGATCGTCCTTATTACCCAATCAAAATATTTGGATAATTTTGAACAATAAGTCGTTCATCGGGTGGTGTATCGAAGTGTAGTAAATGCTCACCAGTCCTTCACTCTTCCAAGCTCGGTTCTCACTCCATCAAGCATCTGTATCATCGGCTGCTCAAACTGAAAACTGAAAGACGGCTTGACAGTTTTAAGGTAAGCTTTCGTTTAATCGTATTTTTCTTCGTTTAAAACAAAACACCCTGACACACAGACTACTCTTGGAGTATCTAGCTACAGAAGGCAGAATGAAGAAAGTAAGAAACACTCAGTTAGTGGCACGCACCTAAAGAACTTCTTGCGAAGTGGCGCCTTTAGTATTTCGACGTCGCAGATATAATCATGGTCACTGCACACCGCATGCTACGTAGCTAGCATCCTTACCTTAAACTGCACCACTGATCACCATAAAACCGTAAATGTATCGAATCTCAAATCGTGCTGCCATTCTTAAGAAGCACAAGGTAGTCTTTCAACGCTTTACATTATAACGCATCACTGCTTTCCAAATTCCGTCTTGGAGTAGACTTTTATCGTGTTCCTTCCGGTGGGAAAAGCCTCTTTTGACTTAAGCCTCTTAATGTACCTTTAATTTCGAGTGTAGTCTATGAAATAAGGGTTCGAAATCTGTCGGAAGGTTAAGGTGGCGATGCACCCACTGCACAATCTTTATTAGAGTGTTGCCGAGTTATAAATACCAACGTAGTTACGGAAATTCAATGATGATAACGGAAGTCACCGAACTCGTTTCAAATAAGTTAGAGGCACATAAAGCTGAAATCAAGACTGTCATCTTGAGGTTTTATTATTACTATGGCAACCTTAAATGAAACAGACTACTCGACAAAAAATTGGACTTTCCTTACTCCAATCTCGTAAAAGTGTGAGAATATCGATTCTTCAAAGAATTGGTGTTTAAAAGAAATTTTGAGCCATAAGACACCCGTACAACTTGCATTTATGTGGCTGTGATTAACCGATATAATCAAACAACTTTTGAAGAGTCCTTTGCAATTTTTTTGGTTGAGAAACTCAAAACGAGCTCGGACAAAATCACTTGAAGTGTCTCACTTTTCTTGTTAGTAAGACAGATGCTGCTCTGTGTGCACTTTTGAATCCATTATTATGCAAAAAATGTAAACAAGATGTTCCTTCAAAGTAGGAATTTGTTTTGGGTAGCGCATCTTTGCAATATATTACGTTCGACTCCCCACAGCTTGGAGCCTAACTGACTCAAACATCCTAATAATTCAGATAACTTACACCAAAATCGATATCCCTGAATTCCCGTTACCCATTCACTGTAATTTAAACCTCAGCAACTCGAACCCTCGATGACTCAAGCCTCCAGCAAACAAGTTTACGTTTCCCTTCAGGGTATTTTCTAGACTATAAGAACTTACCATGTATACTAAAAAGTTGACATGCTTAAAAAAATGTCGCGGATAGATTACAAGTCAGTAAAGGAATATCATGTGTCAAAGCTAGTCCGATTTTAATCATTAACTCTGTTGAAAACTTAGACAGCGACTTTTCAATCATTGTTTCTTGGTAGGCTCTGAACTCATTCTTCATCCACATTTGTTGAATACAAATGGAACTTTCATTAGTGAAATTTTTTCACTTTGTCACATAATAAAAATCCAATTGGTTGTTGAAGCGGCGAACTCCTGTCAATTATTAGCCCCTAGTGATCATCCTTATGCTGGTCACGTACTCCTCTGCAACGTTTGGAAAAGCTCGCACTATATGTCAAATGGATTCGCTCGGTATGCTCAGAACGTTCCCGGCCATTGTTTTAGTCATTGTCAACATAGGAATGTTGATGACAATTGAACTCCAGCCTTCCTTCTACACGCCTCCGAAACGCCCCCTCATCGCGGGTGATTTACTTACGCAGCAAACAAACTGAAATATTCTCTGTTTCAGAGTTACAAAAAAAAATTTCCTCCTTTTTCCTTATCTCTCCCGTCCAAGAGAACATCGTGTATGATTTAATGGATTTGTGGTTCCCTTGGTCAGCGGAAGATAGCGACAATTCGAGAAAAGAAGAAAACAGAAGAGAGCCACTTTTTAATTCCAGACAGAATCGTTTCCGCTGCTTGTCTCGATTGACACTCTCTTCTAGCATGCTGAACTGACGAATTATATCTACTTCACTCAACATCTTCGAAGAAGACAGCAATTTTATTTATTCTAAACACGCATACTATGGGGTTATTAAAACAAAGAAACACTATAAAGAGAAAAACGCCACAGGGCACATTGACACAGTAGACTAACCTCGTTGTCATTCTCAAAATCTGGGGAAGGTGCAACTAATATTATTGGTTCAAATTTACTTAACCATCATCTTAACTTAGCGTGGGAATCTTATGCTGTCAGATGATAAAAAAGGAAATACGATAGTCTGTCATTTTTTCTTTATATCGAGCGCAGCTGTCAGATGTTGGTATCGCTTGCGAAGGAATGTCTGTTTCTTTCAGCATTTTTTTAGGACGTATGCTTTCTGCGTGTCCAACATGCTCACCTTGCATGAACAACATTACGTAACCTGCGTGCACTTGCCTTTCTGTAAAATCACGACGACCTCCTACAAGACAGAATCAAACAAACAATATTAAATTATCCCAACAGTTAAATAAGCCGGAAAACAAACCCCGTTTTGACGGACATTCACACAGTATTTGACAAGTACTTCGGTGATATTAGGATCTCAGGCAAAATTGAAAATTTACACGCATGCTGGGAGTAACGAAAACTTGGCGACAGTGTAATTACACGTGGAACTCATCATTTCCCGCTAATCTTCTTTCTCTAGCCACTAGATAGAGACTTTAATTGTCATACGGCAGTCTCGATATTGCTAAAAACTCACATGATAGATGTGAAGGAACCCTGAGAGATGCAGAGACTGTCTGCGGTACTTTAACCCTTTCCTTCCAAATATGATCTATACTGAAATTCTTAACAGATACTAAGGACAAGCGATAAACAGATGTACTGACAATGGTTTAGAGAATAAGATTTTAGATCTTGGAAATCAAAGGTAAACATACCTTTACTCCCCTCCCCTCCCCTACTCCTTGTTTTAGAAACTGGTCGTTTTCTAAATATCTCCTTCATTTCTCATGTTAACCTTCAATTTTATTCGTCGTCTTCGATGTTATTGACTAAAGGAATGAATAACACCTTGCGTAATGTTTGACACAAATGCGCAAAGGCAATACACCCATTACATGATGCTGCGGAAATCAACTCCAATTTTTTGTTCATAAATTAAATCTGCGGGTGGCTGGCTGGGAACAATCAAAAATCATCGAAAGCACTAGGTCATGCACAAGTCATGGTTCGTGACGCTGACCTATCTGAAATATATTAGGTTTGTTCGAGGGCTTTCAAGCCATTGCATATTCCGCACTCGTCTCTTTCAGTCCGGATACTCTAAGCTGTTGATCACACCCTAAACTACTTCGCAAGGTAAAGTGTTTAATAACTTTTTTTTTTTTGTTGCATAGTCAAGAATGATCTCAATTCTCTGTGCTGCTAACAGTTAATAATCGGCAGAGTTGACAGTTTCTGCATTAAATGATCTACAGTGTCATTAGAGATAGGACGCGCTTGACGTTTTGCACCTATTTTGTTCGCAACCACGAGCGCTACGCGCGTAAAATTATAACCAATGTTAAGCTTCTCTCAGATGTCTAGGTAGAAATTTTGTGAACCAAAGAGTTATTTGGGCTAGCTATCTTTTTGTACTTTAGTAGACCCTAATGCATGCCACGCTCTCCTCGTCGCGGGTTGATAGTTTCAGTGAGGAATAGAACGCTTTTACGAAGCTTTCAAACTAAACTGTTGGTGTGGTACAAACGCTTCAAATCATGTTTTCCTCCATGAAAAATCTGCAAACTCGAAGCGTTTGCGCTTAAAATTTGCGACGTGACATTGGTAAATGTTTTCTTTAGTTTCCCTCATCTCGTCCAGTCTTAGAAACCGCTTACAGTTTCAAAACGTCGACGTTATGTCCAGGCAATCGTTTGATAGGACATTGTGATAACCAAATATAGGAACATTTCATCGGTTAGAGAAGTAATCTAGGCGAGGTCAGATTAGTCATATTCTTGACTGTCCACAAATATTTACGTCGCAATTTTACCACAGATTGTTATATTACTGAAAGTCGCTGAAAAGTACGATAGGAATCCTTAAATCCTAAGGTTTTCAACAAATCTTAGTTGAGCTGTGTACTTCTAACTCCAGGTGTAGTTTTTGATCAGACAGGAAACTTAAGAGCTTATCAAGAGACGCAAGAAATTTTAGAGGAGTTAATCGGAGGCGCAACACGATATGCTTGAAAAGGCAAAATTTCAAGGACGTGATAAGGAAATTCAAGGTGTGATGGCTATTTAGTGGTTGCGCTCTCCTTTGTGTAGCTTCCAATTGCACCTAGTTTCGAGTCGGAATTTGATGGATTAAAAACATGTTCGATAAATTTCGTTTCAACCAAACTAGATGCATGCTTCTGTCCTCACGACACTCAAAAAGACAAAGAGCAACAGAGTGGATTGTTTAATATTTACGAGATGGTTTTTAATCTCCTATTTGATAGATTAGTTTTTCAAAATCGATAATGCTTCCTTATTACATATTACAGTTGTGTGAATGCCATTCCGCCTGATTTGTAGGAGAAATGGCTTTTAACGAGATCAACGAGTTTTTTTTTTTGTGTGTGGATAAGAATTATGGCTTAAGCGCAGACAGGGTAAATTCTTTGTCCTATACTGCTAGATGATGAGATGGTTTTAAACAACTTCAAGAACAAGCAACAGAAAAATTTGCGAGAAACTTCAGACCTATGGTTGCAGACTTTTGATAAGCATATCACTGCACGGTTAAGCACGTTTAAAAATAGATAAGTGATTTCCTTGAACAGCTTTTTTTTTAAATACATGACACTAGTTGGGTCGATAGACATAACGGCGCCAACGAATTTTTTTTTAATTGAAAAGAATGAGGCTTTTTTTACAGACTAACATGACCTGTTGTGTAACGTCTTTGTGATTAGATGATTAAGGTTGAGTAATTACGCGAAAAACTCGTTTGTGCTCCGTTCATGATTTCACGAGCCTTCAGAATTAAGTGCGTATAGTATATCACTTCGCTAAAGAACTATAAGGTTAACCAAGTCTCGGATCCTTATTTTTTAAAAATGTAAGCGTAAATGAAGACGCGTAAGTGGTAACTATTTCAATGTATGTCAATATCGTGTGCTTCAAACCACAAAACCACAGATGTCAACTTATCAATGTCACATTGTACTTTACTAGATAATTCCTTTCATCATCAAATCCGAAATAGATGCCAAACTACTCCCCTACAAACGATCAACCACTAAATTACCAATTCAAATATTGGAGGAATACTTGAAGCAACTGTAGATGTACACTTCGTAGGCTACAACTTGGAACAAACTCATGTAACCAAAAGGGGTTTACAAAGCGGTCTTTATGATATAGAGAGAATACAATTAAACGCCTTGGGATAAATTGAAACGCAACACTATCTAGATAGATTATGTTGGAAACTTGACGAGTGAACTTGATGGTTTTAAAAGTCTAAGGCATATGTTCGCTTACTTGCTTCGTCAAGGATTGAAACCTTAAAAAAAGTAAAAGAAATAGTCATTTTTTTTTCAATAAAACTAGAGCAGCATTGCTCACACTTCCATGGCTTTAGGTCAAAGAATGGTCGTCTTTGTTTTCATGTTGCCGCGTGATACACTGCGTGGTCGAATTGCCGTTACGCCCGAAAGGTTAAAACGCTTGGCGCATGATACCCGCGTGAGTTCTTCATGATTTCCACCAAAACTCGTGAACATTCGTTTACGTAACTTTACATTCACAGTCTAATAGTTTTGTTCTTAGGAATGAAACCCTCACAATTGCATCACACTGTTTCACGGGACTATAAAGTTCTAATTATTCATGAGCAGCGGGTAATTAATCAAGCTGTTTGTATATGCACTCTCGCTTATAAACTCACCCAAATATCAAATATAAACCCGTTAGTAACCTAAAAAATAACTGCTACTACCTCACCGGGAACCTTGCGGTTAGGAATGCAATTCTATGACTTCCCTAGAACAAGGTAATTCAGCCTCAGGGTAAGTTTGTGTTGGAAATTTTTCTTACTTCATGCATTAAAGGATAATCAGATGAGGCAACACATATTTGACAAATTTTCTTGACAGAGCAATCACGTCAGTCATTACATTGCAATAACAGGATATTGATAATGGCCCTGGCGAAAAATAACATTTTACGTATTAGGAGAAAAACAATTTTGAGAACTAAATACATATTGTGAGAGGGTCCGTACTCGAAAATCGACTTTCCGGCATTTCCTAAGAAAGAGAGGGAAAACTGAACGTGAATGATACGAAAATAAGGCGCGAAATGGTCGGAGATTACAGTAGATGGGGAATACAAAGCCAGCAAGGCAGTTCATCTTTAACATCTACCCTTATTGACTTTAAGCTTTTTCAGTAAGTTGTTTTTATACTCACACCAGCTAAATGACGTTTCCAGAGGCTTTGTTTGGTAAAGTGGTCGATGCTATTCAAATCTTAATTTGGGAACTAAATATAATTTGTGGTCACAATCAGCACACGTCATTGAATGCGTTAGATTTTTAATATCTATTTCGAGGCGATCTCTAAGACACTAGTAAATGGTTAGATGAAATTTAAAAAATATTTGTACCTGGGAAATTGACGATTGATGGTAATCTTATGCTTCTCTTTAAAATCTGAAAATTATTTATTTTCCGTTGTATGTATGAAGACATTTTAAGACAGACCCTATCCCGAAAATTACGAGAATGTGGCAACGCAATGTGGCAACAAGATGTTTTTCTTTAGGCGGCTATGCAAATTTCAGCTCGCTGATAAAGTACAAACAAAACATTACCCGGATGTAAGTAAATATTAAATGCGCACAAATGCGCTTACGATAAATTGAAAGTGGAACCGATCAAGATTGCCACTGTTTCGACTATCAATGGGACACTATTGCCAACCGCCAATTTCCTTTAGATTTTGAAATTTGTTTCAACCAAAAAAGGTTTGATTAATGTAATGTTCGTTTTCAACCCCGAAAAGTTTTATTCAAAGCGAAAATTAAGCACGTCTGGACAAATATTGGTTTGGACCTTAGCATTACAGCTATCGTCACATTATTTGAAAGACTGTGTATAATTTCCTTTAGTTACAATGTCTGGCAATCCCTCATGATATTTCTTTTCTGAATTTTTTTTCAGGTTAAGAATGATTATGGATCGTCTTTTCCTGGCTGTGTTTCTATGTGTCAGCTTGCCGCCGCTTGTTTTCAGCGCCGGTAAGACTCCAAAATTTTATATACATTCATTTGTTTTCCTCTTCTCTGTTTTTGTTACCATTTGTCAAAAGGAGATTTTATATTTTTTTGAGGTCTACAATCGCGAGATCTTTTAGTTTTGCGTCTCTACCGAATAAACACCTTGAGAAAGATGGGGATTTGCATACATCTAAACATATTATGTATTGCACCAGGTATTACACAAAGATGTCAAACCAAGTGAATGAAAATTCATTTGAATTTTCTTTGTGATATCAAAAAACCTCACAGAGTTGAACGTACACGATGACTTTTACCTCGTAAATCTGTGATGCAGTAGTTCTACGTCCCCGAGACTATCAAGATGCTGGCTGGTGATGAAAAATCCGATCATCGTCCGAAATTCGCACCTGTAATACAATTTTGAGGGTCCAAATGTAATCTAAAAATTAGATTAAAAAAAAATTATAAGGTTCGCAGTGAAGGATATAAAATGAGCATCTGTATCTTTCTGTAGCGGACCATGCCCCAGAGTTCCCGTTGACTGTACATGTACACTCTGTGAACTGTTTCTGATGTTACTTTTTTTGTTTCCTCATAGATTGGGACTATGTCGTGGGTGGTCCAAATGGTAAGATTTGTTAACGCTATCGCCTAAGTAATCCTTTATTTCGGTTTCCTTGTGAATCGATTGGTTAAAATTTCTTATTACGAAACAAAGATATGGCCAATATTTAACGATTATTCCGAGAGCGCACGTCGGATATGAGATGGTAAGTACCCAACAAAGCGCTTAACACCGAGTTGGTCATGACCGAGCTTGTATCCAACAAGTGCGAGTGGAATAATTGTTTTTATTAAATTCTCCGCCTTTCGTTAATGCTATGGCAGCTTAATAAATTTGTTTTAACTCTTAAAATTGAGAAACACTAAGGTGCTTGTTTCCATGCACGGGATGTGAGCTGATAACCGGAATTGTGTGAACTTATTAGAACACTCAAAATTTTACACTGTCATCCGAGTTTTCAACCAATTTAAATATACCTCAATCGGTTGTTCACGAGCCGAGACTGTCGAGTAGAAAAAACTTTGGAAGAAAATAGAAGCCAAGGGGATCCAAGAGTGAGGGTGCCTCAGTTTACAGATAAAAAGAAACTTTGGCGGGCAAATATTTTTAGACTTGTCTCTTTTTACGACATGTTCTAGACATTTTGAAGTCAAACATACCTCAAAGAGATTGCTAATAGTTTGTTTGACTCCAGACTCTCTCCGAAAATATCGGGCCAAAATAGAAAACTGAGACATCTCAGCTCACACGCATAACGGCCAATAATTTCATTCAAATTTTCTTTTGCTTTATATTTTGGACATGGCAGACCCAAGTGCGACTTTGTAGCTAGGAATTTCGAGAAACTAATTCTGCAGTAATTAAAAATCGTCTTATGATTTTGGATAAAGATAAAAGCACTTTATGATCATCGACAACATGAGCTCTTGATCATCCACCTACAAACAAGAGAATAATATTCTCTTAATATAAACTAAAATAACTGTCCAGATTTATCTACAGCATAATAAAAATTATTGCTGCCCTCAGCTTATCAGCATAGCGTATTTGTGTTTCTACAGGCCCTGCAAATTGGGATAAGATATGCAAAGACGGAAAGAAGCAATCTCCCATCAACATTGAAGTGGCCAAAGTAGAATATGCAAAGATGGAGCCTTTTAAGCTCACCAACTACAACATGAAGCCGACAGACGACTATACCCTCATAAACAACGGCCATTCTCTGCAAGTTGGATTCGCTGGGAATTTTTTCAACGTTAGCGGTGGGGGATTAGTAGGAACTTATACCACCGTGCAGTGGCACCTTCACTGGGGAGAAAATAATAATAAGGGATCTGAACACACAATGGACAAAAAGGCATACCCTGCTGAGGTTAGTAAATAAGAACGTACTTTGTATTTAACAACTGTATACTGCCTCTTCCTTTGTTTACACGGAGCAATTCACGAAGCGAGAACGTGGTGAGGAGGGCTAGGTGAGTAACCAGCTTCCTACACAACAACCCCCCTCCCCTCCCTCCTCACACACCCATAGTAGGGGTTCTTCTCTTACAATGAGGGTTGGCACTTTTAAAAGGTACAACAATTTGTCTCCGAGGTTGGCAAATGAAATCAAACAAGCAGTCAGGGTAACACAATACACAGTGGCTCTTCCTCAGCGCGAGAGATCGAAGGAGAGAATTTCAAGGTTGTTTACACTGCCTAGTAGAACAAGCATAACATTTACCCCCCCCCTTCTTACCTTTCGTTGGTAGAAAATTTGCGCTTTGTGGCTTCCGTGTGCGGCTTAAATGACAAATTGGAAAGGAGGAGACTTTCAACAAATTCAACAGTATATTTTTCAGGAATTGAAAAACTACAAGTGCAATCTTGAGTTCTAGTGAGGCGAAGAATTTAAGGTGGAAGTTATTCTTATTGGTGTCAAGTTTTAGAATACTTAACTAGAAATTAAACTTGACAAATTGCGAATCCTGATTAATTTAAAACTATAACTTTTAAAAACTTGTTTTCACTTTTTCCTCGAACAGATACACTTTGTCAGCTACAACACCAAATATCCAAACATAAGTACTGCAGTTGACAAATCAGACGGTCTTGCAGTCCTCGGTGTGTTCATTGAGGTACTTCCAGCATCTCTTTTTTTTTTCTTTTAAGTAACTTTCGAAATGTTTTTTCTGATATTGTTATTTATTTCTTATAGGTTGGAGGTGAAGATAACGCAGCATACGGATTTCTGAAATATGCCATGAACGTCACAAAAAGTAAACCGGGCTTTGTGATTTGATCTTATGTTCAACATCCTTAATGTAAAACTGTGCTGCGCTGAGCTGTAATCAGTAAGGAGTGGTAAAAAGGCATGCGCATAAACAACGTAGACTTACGGTCCTTCAATTTGAATTTGAGCTCAAAGTTTTCCACGACACCTTTTTTTCATGTGGTCTCCAAAATACCAGTTATCATTTTATTCCAAGTCATATCCTGAGTAATTCATTTAGTTATTGATTCAGTCCTTAAATTTACAGTTCGACATATTTAGTTATTCACATTAATTCGTTTATTCGTCGATTCATTTCTCGTTCTGTTGTTCAGTATCGTGTCCTGTACTTCCCTATTTGTATGTCCACTTGGCCATACGTTTCTTCGACATCATGCTCAGTGCTCGAACCAACGGCCATCAATACACGGATAAACAATACCCAATCACATAGATGGTTGTAAAGAGTGTCGTATATACTATAAAACTATCATCCCCTGTCATCTCCTCACACCATTACCCCTAAATGAGACTTATTAACGGCATGACAATTAAGAAAGTGATGTCCAACTCGAGAATTTCCTGACCGTTGAACAAATTCTCCGGGGAAGTAATAGGGAATATGTATATAGAAAACAGTATGGAGAATGTGCTCTGTGATGTCAGGGTGTAAAGAGTTCAGTAATTTTCTATTGTTTGGGTAAGAAGGCGTTCATTGGAAGAGGATAACAAATTTCTTATAATCAACTGCGCAGAAGACGACAATTAGAGATATTTGAACTGCCTCAACATTTGCGCACTTTACAACTTGGCTAACGAGTTATGTTAATTCTTACAGAATCGAACATAACTATTATGCCATTCGAGCTGAAACCGATGTTTCCAGCAATAGAAAGGTTTTTTCGTTACAATGGCTCCTTAACCACTCCCGGGTGTTTCGAGAGCGTCACCTGGACAGTCTTCAAAGAGAGCGTCAAAATATCAGCGGCTCAGGTATATTACTGATGGTTATTCTTTGACCGTTAAGAGTGCCACGTGAAACAACAGTTTTTTAACTTTGTAAATATTTGACAACATGCAATTAAGAATTTTCCAAATTGTTGAGAATTATGTCTCGGTCTGTAACCCCTTCCCTCTTTTATGGTATACTTTTAACTGCGCATGCCCCAATAAATGAAAGGTGAGGCATTGTTCAGGAATACGCCTAAAAACCAGAAGGAAGTATCTCTTTTCAACATCTCTCTCTTTTTTTTTTTGGTTTTAGGTCGTACTTTTTTTAATAAGAAATAAATCATCACATGTTAGACAATGCCAAGGGCAAATGATATATGTGTATGAAGGGCTGTTTTATGATTTGGCCTTCATTAAGCTTTCACAGCTGTTTACGTTTTGGGAGAGTTCTTGACGCTCTTACTTGACAGGGTGTGTGTGTGTGTGTGTGTGTGT